GGGAAGGGCAGACCCTTGAAGGGGCCTTATAACTCCTGTTAACGTGGGGTGGAATTTCTTCTCAAGCATTTATAGGCCCAAGTAAATGCAAAGGGTCTTCCAGCCTGCCACGCTTACTGTACCGAGATCCCTTTCTGGGAGTTGCTGGGGATGGTGCCCTAAATGGGGCCTGGATCCTAAGCTCCGCCGTGCAGTGATTTTCCCATTCCTAGGATCAGGTGGGAATAACAGATCATCTAATAAAAGCAAGAAAACACAGGTTTTGATAAAAACCCTTTGAAGAAGAATTTCAGGTCCTCCCTGGTGGCACAACAGGTTAAAGCGCACCACTGTGGTGTTAAAGACTGCAGCCGTTGCAGCACAAACTTAAGCCTCCACCAGGGAGATGACCCAAGGGCGCAGCAGATCTCTTCTGACCTGACCCGCCCGCGGCTCCCCTCAGCAGTGGATTTCAGTCCATCTGCCTGTTCTGCTCCCCCCTCTGGTGAATCCTCTCCCCTCCCCCCCCACCTCTGGCCTGTACCCTCGTTCTTATATGCATAAAAAAATCTTAAAGAGAATCATTTCTAAAGTAGCATAAAGTGTATAGAAGAGTTGCAAGATGAGCAGAAGCTTCCACATCCCCTTCCCCTTCGCCTCCCACTGTCAGTGTTGCTTCGTTGTTCATTCTTTGGGCGTTTGTTTTCTGAACACTGGAGATTCAGTCCTGCACCCGACGTGGGATGCCCGTGCGTCTCCTAGCAATAAGGACGTGTGTCACAGCCTCGGTATCGTTTTCGGAGTCAGGAAGCACCCTCCGGAGCTGTGCGCGAATGTCCGTATTCCGGTTCAGCAATCCCACACGGACCGGAAGCCAGCGCGAGGCCAGTGGCCCCTGCATAGGGGTCAGCGTGCGCCTGCCCGCGGGAAGGCGGCCGTAGCTCTGGCAGATCTCCTCTGGCATCTGCTTGCAATCCTCCGGCCGTGTGCGTGCAGCGCAGTGTTCTCAACTGGGGAAGATTTTTTTTAAATGAGAAAACTTTAATTAAAGCAAAAATGACAAATGCATATTAAAATCCAATGTTAGGAGGATGATGTATTTGTTTATATCCAGTCGTCTAAGTCACAAAATATGAACCTATTAGGTAATTTTAATGAAATATCACATGGTAAAAGCATTGAATATGTATTTTATCACATATGCACAAATATGTTCTTTTGTAGAAACACAGAGACATATCTATCTGTATTAATGATCTTCACTATTATGAATTTTCCTAAATGTTTTATATACTTCCTAACAACTTGAATTTTAAAGAATTTATAACTTGATGTGGTGCTTTATGTTACAGATTTAGAACACTTCATTGTTGTTTTTTAAAATAATATCATAGTTTATTTTTACATCATTTTGTGCGTTTTTCCATCTCAGTTGTAATCCCCTTGGGTTTCCCATCACCAAATCACCCGTGTGCCATCACCATAGTCCAGTGCACTTCCCTCCCACCCCCATTTTTTTTTTTTAAAGATTTATTTATTTGTGCATACAGAACTGGGGTACAGGCCAGGGGCTCAGGGGCGGCGAGAGGCTTCACCAGAGACAGAGTGGGGAGCAGAACAGGCAGATCGACGAAGTCCACTGCTGAGGGGAGCAGCGGGCGGGTCAGGAGAGGTCTGCCACACCATGTGGTCACCTCCGGGGCAGGCGGGGATCGAACTCATGCGGAAGCGGCTTCAGATTCTCAGTGCTGTGCTTTAACCCGCTGCGCCACCAGGGAGGGCCCCTCCCACCCCTATTTTTGATCCCATTCCCCACTCCACCCCCATAAATTGTCTCTGGTCTATGGCTGTTCATTATTATGATTATTATTTTCTCGCCTGGTCTGTTACCCTCCTGCTATGAGTGAAACCATCCGGTATTTTTCCTTTTCTTTCTGGCTTATTTCACTAAGCACGATCTTTGCCAGCTCCATCCATTCAGCCGGGGAAGATTTTAACTAACCCCAGGAGACATTTGGTATTGTCCGCAGACATTTGTGTTTGTCCACGGTGGGTGGTGATAGGCACTGGCCTCTGGCCTCTTCTGATGTGAACTCTCTGATCCCAGGTGTCAGTAGCGTGCAGGTGCGCAGCTGATATGTAGGTGCACTGGGGTGGGGTGTGGGTGTTCGGGGGGGACACCACCTCCACGGCAGTCGGAGCAGCCCATGGGTCTGCATTTCACCCCAGCAATTCTGCCTCCCCAGCAACCCTAGACAGCTCTGCTCCTGTGTGCACAGGGAGGGCCAGCCACGCTCTCGAGTGCCCCAGCACACAGCCACTAGGAGTCTGGTGAAAGTGTCGTCTCTGCACGCTTGTTTCTTCCCTTAGTCCATGTGCTTCTCCATAAAGTGGGGCTGGGGAGGCAGGTGGGAAGCATGCCAGGAATTCTGGACCCGGCAGCTACTTTGTGATTTATGGGCATAGCTGCTAGTGACTCATGCGTGAATGATGCACTGGGATTAAGCGCTGACATGTCTCTGAGCTTTTATTGACAGGAGGCTGTACCGGAATGTCTTCCCATTGGAACGGAGGGCAGGGCCTCTGCTGAGTCACCTCTGACCCTTGGGAGCCCAGCTCTGGATCTGGTTCACTTTAAAAGCAGCTGTCACTGCTTGCACGCACTTTCGCACATCGGTGGTCTGGCATGTTCTGGCACGCTGACTGTGGCCACGAGGAGGCCTGTGCTGACACCTGCTGGCCCAACTTGGTACTGCGGGCCAGCTCAGACCCACCTGAGGGACATCCAGGAGAGGTTTGGGGTAGCGGTCAGCTAGTTTGGGAAGGCACAGAACAGGGACAGAGATTCAGAAGGAAGTTCAAGTTAAGGAAACTGGCCTGGGTGTAGAGGATGAGAACACAGACCACACAGCTGGAATACTGAATTCTGTCTTCAGTATTTTCTAGCTGGGTGAACTTGGGTAGATCTGGGGTTCTTCTCTGAGCCTCAGAGGACTGGTGAGAATGTATTCACTTGATTGTTGAGCCAACATCAAGCACCTGATGGACTGAGAATCACGCGTATGCACCAAGGATACACAAAGGCCTGGTCCCACCCACATGGTGCTTACAGTTCAGTGTGGGGAACATAATGAACACACGGTGACTTGTGAGCACAGACAGGCCATAGATGGAGGCTGGTTCTCTCCGCCCACAGCCACTCGTTGCCTCTCAGCCGAGCTGGAGCCTGATGCAGAGATCCTCTGGTCTCTGAGGACCCAGCGTCCTGAGATTCCTATGGTCGCTCTAGTGAGACCTGCATGGTGCCTCTGGATCAGCCCTGACGCAGGGACCCAGCTCCCTTGACGCCTCCCCCACCGGGTCACTCCGCAGGCAGTCCGCAGACATCACATGTTACCGCGCTGGCCCTTCTGTCCCTGGGGGGTGTGACTGGTGTGTCAGCGGGGGCCCAGCGTGGAATGGAGACCGTGGTGACACGGCAGGCAGAAGGAATGGATACAGGGAAGTGCCACAGACGAGGGGAGGGCAGAGACGCCAGAGGGTGAGAGGGCGTCCCAGGAAGCACTGCAGCTGGAGGCCGAGGGGCCAGGAGGTGGGTGTGGTGCCATTAGACTCAGGTATCCCAGGCTTGGACCACAGTGGGGACAGCTGGTGAGAACTGGGACCCTGCAGGGCCTTCCTATGTCTCTCTGCTCTCAGATCCATCCCTGGAGGATGGAGGGCCTGCGTGCAGCCAGCTGGGCCAGTTCTCAGGCTCCAGGTCAAGTGGCTTCACTGGCCAATGGGAGGCCCTGCAGGACACTGGAGGCTGGAGGGAGGATTTCTTTCTCCTGGCACCTTGGTCACCGTCTCCTCAACTCACATTTTCTTCAAAGCTCCGGCTCCCAGGGTGGCCCACTATGTCTCTAGCCTTGCCGAGTGGGCTGGGGCATTCGACTCCTCCCTCAGTCTCTGCAGCTTAGAGGTAGCTGTGGCTCCCTGGCGCAGTCAGTCTTACTCCTCCTTCATCAGCTCTGGCACCAGTTTCCCCTGGGAGGGCCCTGGGCTCACGTGTGCAGCGGTTTCCGGGTTAAATGCTGATGGCTAGGAGGAGAGGACCCAGCCCTGACAGATAACAGCACTGGGGCCTGCAGAGGGTGGGGCAGCTGGCTGCTGGGGTCAAGAGCAGCCTTCGCGGCAGCCCTGGGTCTGTGCTTGCTCTGCTTCAGCTCTGTAGACACCATCCAGTCGTTTCCTTTTCCCGAAGCCGAGTTTCCTCACCTGTCCTGTGGGAATAAGAAAGGCCCCGATGGGCACAGGATGAGCTGAGGATTCAGGGACTGTGGCACGGCAAGAACTTAGCTGCAACCTTAGACTAGAACAGGAAAGGGGGACCTTCCCTGGTCGGCAGTTAAAAGATAGGCACCACAGAGTAAAAAAAGTGGGGTGCTGCTGTAGAGAAACACACAAGTGAGGCCACGCAGTGAGGCCAGAGACAGATGGCTAAACACCAAATATACAATAAACAGCCCCACAACCCATGGGGGATTGGAGAAACTTCCAGAAGACGATATTGGGAGCTGGCCTCCAGTTGAACTGAATCCTGAACTCACACTTCACACAAAGGTGGTCTCTAGATGGGTGGAAATCAGAATAGGAAATGTGAATATATAAATTCAAAGAAGTTGTGAAACGCAATGGAATACTATTCAGTCATGAAAAAGATGGAGTTTTGACACAGGCTGCAACATGAAGGGACCTTGGAAACGTTATGCTGGAAAGTCAGACTCTGCAGGGTCACACTCATGTGGGGGAACAGCCACACTCCAGGGCCTAGGGGAACAGGAGTTGGGGGGTGTTTGGTGGGGACAGTGTTTATGTTGGGGAGGATGCAAAGTTTTCGGGTGTAGATCATGCCATTACGTCGTGAATGTATTTCATGCCACGGAACTGTACCCTTAAAATGGTAAATGCTGCACAATTTTAAAAAAGGCTCAAATGGATCAAAGGCAAGAAAACACTTTAATATTTATCTTGGTTACTTCAAAATAAAGGAGTCTGGCCCAAGGATCCACTAGGGACAAGAAGACAGACGTCATAATTGGAGGGGCTGCAGCGTCTCAAACAGAAGTACTTGGAATATACAAGCAAGCCCTGCAGACAAACAGCAGAAGAGACAGCAGCCTGATGGGAAACAAGGCGATGTGGGAGCAGTTGAGAAGAGGGAAACCACGGCCCAGGGGGGCGAGCTCATTAGCATAGGAAACGCCACAGCCTAGGAGAGAGCTTGTAAACACTGAAAAGCGGGAGAGCACCCAGATGTGGGGTGCAGGTGCCATTTCCCATGGAGAGGAACCGGCACTGGCGGAAGGAGAGGTAGACATTGAGCCTAGAACATCTCTGTGTGCTCCGAGAACGAGGGGCCACGGCGGAAGGACCCCGGCCCCCGAAAGGATGCCCAAGAGGGGCAGGTGGGGCATCAGAGGCATAGCGGGAGGGGTGGATTCGGAGCCCACAGGACGAGATCACATGGGGGGGCTGTGCTGAGATCACTGCGCCAAGAAAGGGGTGTGCGTGGTGATTTGAAGGTGTGGTCCCCATTCTTTGGCCCCTTCGGTGCAGTGGGTTCACTTCCCTTGGCGTGGGGGCTGGACTCGTGATTGATTCCAAGGGTGCAGTCTGGTGGAAGTGACGCTGGGCTGGAAAGGGGGTCAGAAGGGCCTTGTGCGTCACAGGCTCTCAGTGGTCACCCTCTCTGGGGAGGGCAGTGTCCACGTGATGAGGTCACTGAAGGGCGGGGAGGGGGGAGAGCCGTTAGGTTGGGGCCAGAGGGGCCCAGGAGCCAGCCGCCTGGCTCGCAGAACCTGCAGCTCTCCCCGCGGGGCTCAACAACCGCTGACCTTGTTCTCCAACCCCAAGTGGACACCGAGGGGTCACCGAGTGGTCAGTACACCCGGAATCTCAAAATCGGCATGACGAAAGATGGCAGATGCCTTGTTAAATTTTTTACACCGAGTACCTGTTGAAATGAGAAGATTTTAGCTGTTTGGGTTAAGTAAAAGACATCACCAGAGTGAATTTCACTCGTGGCTTTGTCTGCGGTTTCAGCTGTGGCTGCAGGAAAGTTTAAAGTCTGCGCCGCCGTGTTCCCACTGGGGAGTGCCACCCCAGCTCAGCTCCCTGAGAACTGCAGCAGTCAGAACCTCCCGGCCAAGGCACTCCTGAATTCTGGACCCTCAGAGGCTGTGAGCACTTAATGAGCCTGATTTGGGGCAGCTAAGTTGGGGGGGGGGTGTCACTTAAAACACTGCGGTAACTGATTACAGAGGGGTGTTAAAATTGGGTGAAAGTGGGAGGAGGAACTGAAGCAGCAGATCAGAGATACCCCACTGTGAGGTACTTCCTCGTCACGGAGACACAGTCAGGGAACAGTGGTCCTGTCACCCTGGCCGAGTGGTCAGTATCCACGTCACAGGAAAGGGGACAGTCCTGTGAGGACACAGCACCACCTGGGGTCCTAGTGGGGTGCATAGCCTGGTCCAGCTGTGAGCAATTTCAGACAGACCCACAGGAGGGAACTTGTGTGAGGTAATGGGCCCGACCTCTTCAGAAGCATCCAGGTCAAGACTGACCTTGAGAAAGACAGAGGGAGTGTTCCTAGTGGAAGACCCTGACCGAGGGCAAATAAATGCAGAGAAAGTTGCAGACACCGGTAGGACTCACCCCAAATCGCCGTCACACACTGCACTGGCTGGATCCAGTGGTCGTTCCTCTGTTGGAGAAGCGCACAAACCTCAGGTGTCCTTGAGGTCGTTTCCCCAATCCTTGTCCCGGGCTGTCCCAGCTCCGGAGACAGAACAGGTGGACTACGCCCCTCGGCAGGTGAGATTGGGGCCTGATACTGGTGCCTGTGGCCTCGTTTGCAAACAGGACCTGCAGTGGTCACTCACGCTGGACTGGAGGGCCCAACTCCAGGGTTGGCGCCGTTATGGGAGGAAGAACAGACGCAGACACACTCCGGGGAAGGGGCATGAGAGGAGCCGGAGGCAGCTGCAGTCAGCGGGGCCCAGGCCTTCCGGCTGCAGTTCCCACAAACCGGAGGAGCAAGGAGAGATTCCTTCATGGAGCCTTCAGGGGCAGCGGGGCTCCGATTCCAGGTTTCTGGGCCCCACAACCGGGAGAGAGGTGCATTTATGTCATTTTCAGCTATTGGTTTGTGGCACGTTGCGACGGCAGCCGTTGGAAACACACACGGACATTCTCCTGCACCCTCAAAATCTCTCCTGCCTCTGCCCTGTTGGTTCCTCCCCGAGGCAGCCCCTGTCTGCCCTTTTTCATCATAGATTACCTTTGCCCGTAATAGAGCTCTGTTTCCCCCACTCTCTGAAGTAGGGTGTTCTATTTGTGCGCGTTGTAGGTCGTCTTTGAGGTTTGGGGATACTTACCCATATTGGTTAAATTAGGTGGATGCGTACTCGTATAAAAGGCAAAAAACAAAAAAACAAAAAACAAAAAAAAACAAAAAAAACCCCACAAAAAGCCCTCGCACCCCCCCCCCCCAACCTAATCCTACCAAATAGGGTTGGCCTACTGTCATCTCATGGGCCGGCCTGTGCTTTCTCTTTGTGTCTTGTGCCTTGTTTTTCGCTTGGTGCCGGATTTTGGAGGTTCGTCAAGTTTGCTGCGTTTCTCCGTGGTTGGCACCTCTGTACCTGGAGGCAGCCGAGTCGAGGGGGATGCCGAGTTTGAAGTTGAGGAGGAGGCATAAGGATGGGAACTTTCTCTCCAGACCTGGGCTGGGAGGGGCCTTCGCTGGGTCTCCGAGCTCCCAGGGCCACCCCGTGCTTTCCCAGGCCCGCACCTGTGGCCACCTGCTCTCTCGCCCCCTGGTGGCGAATCTAGACAGTACACCAGAGAGGCCACTGAGCCCAGGTTGGAGGCTGTGGGGGAGACCAGAGTGTTGTTTTCCCTGGTTGGGCCCCCAAATCACTGAGCACCTGCTCACCGCCTGCGTGACTCCACTGTGTGACTGTGTGGAGGAGCAGAGATGATCTAGCTCCTGTGGGCTCCCAGCAGAGGGATGCTTCCTGCTCTTTGGGTTTGCAGCCAGATATGGACCTGCTGTATCACGTCCCTCTCAGCTTCATTTTTGGGGCAACTACCACTGTGTGTCCAGTATTGCCTTCATTTTTCTTTTTTAAAAAAGATTTATTTGTTTATGCATCTAGAACTGGGGTACAGGCCAGAGGTGCAGGGGCGGTGAGAGGACTCAAGAGAGAGAAAGTGAGGAGGAGAACAGGCCGACTGATGAAGCACACTGCTGAGGGGAGCAGCGGACAAGTCAGGAGAGGTCTGCTGTGCCCTGTAGGTCACCTCCGGGCCAGGGATCAGACTCACACTGAAGCGGTTGTGGCCAGCTTGCAGTGCTGCGTGCTAGCCTTTGCACACCAGGGAGGGCCGCTTCATCATTTTTCTATCCCGCTAACCCAGACGTCTTGGAATCTTCGCAGCTTTGCCAACTCGTGCTGTTTTCTGCTTTCCTCAGTAGGGACCTTCTCGTGGGTGTGAGTGGCTGCTCCTTATGGTCTTGACCTGCATCCTCCTGATGATGGGTGACATGGAGCACCTTTTCAGGTGCTTATTAGGTTTTTACAGATCTTTGCGAAGTGCGTTTCAAGTCCATTTTTATTTTATTATTATTATTTTTAAAAAGATTTATTTATTTGTGCATACAGAACTGGGGTACAGGCCAGAGGCTCAGGGGCGGTGAGAGGCTTCACCAGAGACAGAGTGGGGAGCAGAACAGGCAGATTGATGAAGTACACTGCTGAGGGGAGCAGCGGGCAGGTCAGGAGAGGTCTGCCGCGCCATGTGGTCACCTCCGGGGCAGGCGGGGATCGAACTCATGCGGAAGTGGCTCAAGCTTCTCAGTGCTGTGCTTTAACCCGCTGCGCCACCAGGGACGGCCTCAAGTCCATTTTTAAGCGGCAGTGTTTGGTGGCTGAGTTGTAGGAGTTTTCACATGCTCTGGACTTTCGCCCCTTGTCAGATGCCTGACCTGAAGCACCCTCCCAGTTCTGTGTCCTGGCTGCCTTTTTGGTCTGCTGATTATGTCTGAGAGGTCCAGAAGTTTTAAATTGTGCTGCAGGCCAGTTTATCACATTTTCCTTTTCATCGCCAGTGCTTGCGAGGTCGTCCGCCTTGGCCATCGAGGGCCGAGGGAATGGCGCGTGTGGCCACTTGGTCCATACGACTGGGTCTGCTGACAGGTCCGTCTAAACAGATTCGGAACCTGGCTGCTTCTCACCAACTCAGCCCCCGCCCGGCGGAGCCCGCTGTCACCGCCTGTGTCACCTCCTGCCTGCCCTTACCGCCTGTGTCGCCATCCATCTTCTCCGGGTGGCCAGGGGGGTCCTGTGGAATCCGAGGGAGTTCTTCCCCCTTACTCAGAGTGTTCAGTGGCTTCCTCTGGCCGGCAAAAGCCACTGACTCTACAAAGGCCCACGAAGCTCTTTGCGGCTCAGCTGGCCCTCCGCTCCACCCTCGTGGGTCAGGCGTGCTTCTGCCTCAGGGCCTTTGCACCTGCTGGCCTCTCCTGCCTGGCGGCCTTTCCCCAGATAGATGTATGGCCTGATTCCTCACTGCATTCATGTTCCTGCTCAAACTACCTCAGTGAGGCAGGCCTCCTCGACTATGTTAAAGTCAAAATCAAATCTCTGAGTTCCCACCCTGCTGTATTTTCTCCGTGGTGCTTACTAGCCCCTAAGAGGGACATCTGCTCCCTGAGTACAGGTACTGCTTACGCTTCATTCCTGAGTGTGTCTCTAGGGCCTGAACCATAGCAGGTGCTAATGATTTGATGCATGACTGAGTGGAAATGAATGTCTTTTGTCTATTTGAAGACATTTAAATATCTTTTAGTGACCTGTTGCTGATCTGTGAGCACCTATTGTATCCACAGTGCTGACTTCTCTGTATCCCAAAGCCAGGCGGCCAGTGGGTGGGTCATCAAAAGGATCAATTTCAAGTAGTCCGCACTCCCAGATATGGCCACATGGGGGCAGCATACACCCAGGCAAATTTCACCAGCCCTTCCCTGATCACCAAAATTCCAGTTCCCGGGACTCAAAAATTCCTGATTCTGAGACTCCAAAATTCCAGATCCCAGGCCTGGCAGCCCACAGGGGTCTACTCTGGATCCCATTTGGCAGATGGAGAGACAACCTCACAGACACGACGTGGTGGGGCAAATGTCCAGTGCTGGAATTCAGGGTATCTGGCTTTGTGATCTTGGAGGAAGTGGTCTTGGGAGAAGCCTGAGCCCTCTTGGGCTTGTTTCCCACCCACTTGCTGTGTGAGGTGGACAAGACGTGCCTGGTCATGCCCATGGTGGGGCTGAAGAGTCCGACTGATTTCCATGCCCCAGGGAGGCCAGGGTGAGGGCTGGCAGGCCCAGAACACCTGCAGAGAGGGGGGCGTCGCCTCATTTTATAGACCAAGGTCTAGTGGGGGTGCAGCAGAGCACAGCCAGGAGGGCAGAGGGGCGCAGGCATCCACCTGCAGTCCGCAGGAGCCAGGCTTCCCAAGGGCCCTGCTGTGTCCTTCAGCCTCCTCTCCGGCCAAGAAATTGCCGGGGGG